GTGTGTATGTCTGTGTGTCTTTGTGTGTTTGTGTATGTCTATCATTGTGTATTTGTGTATCTGTATGTCTGTCAGCATGTCTGTATGTCAGTGTATGTTTATCTGTATGTCTGTCAGTGTTTGTGTGTATCTGTATATGTGTGTCTGTCTATCTGAATGTGTATCAGTTTGTGTATATGTATATCTGCATGTGCGTCAGTGTGTGTATCGTTGTGTATGTGTATCACAGTGTGTGCGTGTGTGGCAGTGTATGTGTATATGTGCATATATCTCAGCATTCAAACACCAACACTACACACAAATAAACACCTCCATGCAAACAACAACACTACATACAAACACACACCTGCATTCAAATGTCAACACTACATACAAACACACCTCTGTATCAGACACCAAAATTATATATAAACACACACCTACGTTCAAAAACCAACACTACACATAAATGCATGCTTGCATTCAAATGAAAACACTACATACAAACACACCGCTACAATCATACAAACATACTCCATACAAACACATGCTTACAGTCAAACACACAAATACTGCTCCATGCTAAATACAATACTGCAAGCACAGGGAATCGGTAGAGCCCCAGCTTTCAAAGCATTGTTGAAGTTGCACGACAGATGGGGATCTATCTTTTAGCCATCCTGTGTACATACACAGACCTGTCATACAGAGACATACAGTATGTATGTCTCTGTATGACTGTGTGTATGTATTCAAAAGGAATAAACGCAGTCAACACTCCAATAGTACGGATGGTATATTTATTGATAGGTGAACCACCCCAAATAAAGTGCGTTGTTTCAGCTCAGCAGAGCCTTATTGCATGAGCTGAAACATCACACTTTCTATGGGGTGGTTCACCTACCAATAAATATACCATCCTTACTATTGGAGTGTTGCCTGCGTTTATTCCTTTTGAAGACTTTACTGGTGGATCCAGCGATGTCCGCCTGACACGGAGCATCCACCACCGTTGATGGCCGGAGCATTTACACGGTATCAGTGTGCAGGGTTCTTTGTTTGTCTGTGTATGTATGTCTCTGTATGCCTATCTCTATGTTTCTTTATGTCTGTCTGTATTTCTGTGAGGACCTGTGTCTGTATGAATGTATGTCTGTGTTTGTATGACAATGTACCTGTATGTGTAGATTGTATGACTGTGTTTGTTTGTGTGCCTTTTATGACTGTGTGTCTGTATATCTTTGTGACTGTGTGCCTGAAAAATTATGTCTGTGTGCTTGTATGGTTGTGTGTCTGTATGTTTGTGTATTTGTGCATGTATGTATTTTTTCCTGTATCTATGTCTATGTGGAAGAAAAAGAGAGATAGATAGGGGCTGGCGGGGAAGTAAGAAATACATAAGAGGTGTTGTAGGAGACACACTAAAGGGGGGTGTAAGGCACAAAGGGGCCAAAAGGATAAGACATTCAAGAGAGTGGATATGCAACACTAATGGGGGTAAGAAATTCAAAAGGGGGCTACGAGACACAGAGGTGAAGATGCATTGTTTATTTTTTTTGGGGGGGGGGGCGTCAAAATGCATCTTCGCCTGTGTAGTCAAAAATCCTAGCACCGGCCCTGCCTCAATATCACACCCCCTCAGCATCACCCCCCCACTATCACCATCCCTCACCACCCTCAGCATCACCTCCTCACTATTACCCCCTCACCACCCTCAGCATAACCCTCACTGTCACCCCCTTTCACACCCTCAGCATTACCCCCTCTCTCAGCATCACCCCCTCATTATCACCCCCCACCACCCTCAGCATCACCCCCCACCACCCTCAGCGTACCCCCCCTCACCATCACCCACTTCCTCAGCATCACCCCCCCTCAGCATCACCACCCCTCACTATCACCACCCTCAGCATCCCCCCCTCACTTTCACCACCCTCAGCATCCCCCCCTCACTATCACCCCCCCTCACCACCCACAGCATTACCCCCATCACCCCCTCCCTCAGCAGCATTTACCCACACTCACTGGAAAATTTCGCGTACTGCAGTAAGCTTATAAAAATGCTTTTACGCATGCCCCTCTCACCATCACCCGCCTCTCCCTCTCACCATCATCCACCTCTCCCTCTCACCATCATCCCCCTCTTTAAGCAGCTACCCCATACACATAGGGTACCAGTGAAAAAACGCAAACATGCTCACAGAGACATACATTCACACACACACACACACACACACACACACACACACACACACACACACAGGGATACTCTCTGTCAGACACACTCTCAGGCACATACACAGGTAAACTGTGCATCAATGTGTATATGTGACAGTGTGCATGTATTGCAACTCTATTTTTTTTACTTTTTTGTTAGTGGGGCCTCATGTTTGAGTTTCGCCTAAGGCCTCATAAAGTCTAGAGCCGCCTCTGCAAAAGGAGCCTCAGAAGAAAAAGAAGACTGTGTCAAATGAAGGAGAAGAAAATGAGATTGGAGCACTTCATTCTGGACACCACATCATAAGGCTTTGGTACCTGAGCCTGGCAGGGAAACTTTGGACCTTCTCATCTTCCCAGGTAAAAAGAAATATCAGTGTTAATGTGTTCACTTTAATTTACTGAGTGTCAGGAAACACAGAGGGCCGCTGGGTAGGGGTGCTGCTGATTTGCTAGAGGGTCAGCTGGCATTCTTAGCCAATCAGTAGCTCCCCATTCATGAAAACGTAAAACATTTTTATGAATCGGGAACTAGCGATTGGTTTAGAGCGTCAGCTAACCCCTCTAACCAATCAACAGCACCCATGCCTGACGTCAATCTGCACTTCCAGACACTCCGTTTAAGAAGCTGAATACCACTGAGCGACCAGGAGATCTGGAGGAAGCCTTTGGGGGTAAACCATTTGAGAGTGGTTTCACCCTTTAAAGGAAAGAGAGCGCCCTTGGGGCCTCCTTGCATCATAGCATTTTCATTTAGTTTAAGTTGTTATGGTGACCAGAACGTTCCTTTAATTTGATTAAAGGAACACTATAGTGTCAGGAATACAAACATATATTCCTGACACCATAGTTGTAAAAAAGCTATTCACCCTGGCTTTATGTGAAAATAACTATGCTCCTTCCCTTTCATGACACTGTCAAAAAGGGGGCCAAGCATGGATGTCATTACAATTATGCCCCCCCCCTCCGCCCCGGAAAAATTCCTGCGGATGCCCGTGATGACGCCCACTATCCTGTCCCACTGAGCTGCCTCATATTTATCCTATTATTGTTTTTGGGTGAACCCTAATGGTTTTATGCAGTGAAATCCTGCTTCTACCTTTCATTAAAGTGTATTTATGTTTATATTTGAATTCAGTGCACCCATATGCTCCCACTAGAATCAAGGTTTTATTTTCTCATTATTTCCTCCTACATATTTGTCTTTTATTTAATTGCAAGCCAACATGTCTGAGCATCCAGACCCTGGCATCTCCTCTGAATTATGTGCTTGGCTTTTCTCCTCTATTGCGGAGTCATTACCCAAGGCTTTAGCCACCTTTTATGAACACATGCCTGCACATATACCCTCTGATTCAGAGGATTCTCACTCTTCTGATCACGAAGGAGCCCCATGCAAATGTCCTTGGAAAGGGCAAAGCTCCTGCTAAATCCCTTAAATTGTCCCTGCCAGTTACTATGCAGGATAACATGTTTGAAGCGAATATGCTTCAAGATTCCGCCACCTCAGAGTTTGTTAAGGAGACGTTTATTACTAATCCCAAGGATGCTGGTTTAGGTAATTCTAAACCTAAGGAGACTTCCTCAGACATCCTCCTGGATGCTTCTGGTCTCCCATTATTTGACCCCAGGATAATCCAGCACCCAAGCTCTGGCGAATGGGCTCGCCCAGACCACATAGCCAATTTTTGTAGAATGTGGTTGTGACAGACCCATCTGTCTGGATTACAAATGCTTTGTTCGCCTGTTTTGCCGGTTACATGAATTTCCCCATTCGTATGCTTTATTCAAGGGAATGTCGGTTTTTGTCGAACGGAACTACCGAACGGACGGCCACCCAGAAGAGAAGTGTGCTGCTGGTTAACCTATTGATCCCAATTAGAACATTGCAGTTAACCACAGACACTTCTCAATTAAAACCGAATGCCGGGTGGTCGTCGTTCGTATGTCGACCACGAGGCGGCGGCCATTTTGTCCATGCGAAC